TATTGGAGATCCCTGCCTACCTGAGGCCTTCTAAAGGTAAGCAGCTTTCTTCCTTTGTTTCTGTGTCCATGGCTGTTGCACTTGGACTTATCCTTACTTGCTGCAGCCTAAAACTTTGCTACCCAACTATTATTGCTGTGCTTTCCAGCACGTTATAGCATTACACCCCCAAAATAAATTCATCAGACCCAAATCCCAATCTATTAGTTCCATGCTCTGGTGATCACTGCTGAGTGCTGCAGATCAATTCCTTACGATGGATTTTGATTGCAGCCTTAGAAAAAGAGAAAGTTTAGAAATGTGCTCAAAGATCTCTGCTAAGAAGGTGTTTGCTGTACGTGGGGTGTCTTTGGGAGCTGGGAACGCAGCAGGGGAGGAAGTGTGGGATGACTTTGTCTCTCTGCTCATTAATAATTGCTCTTCTGAGGTTGTGCAGTGGGATAATGTATATGGAAACCATTCTGTGCCCAACAGTAGGTGGATGTAGCGTGGGCAGATTTATTTTGCCAACCTCCTTTGCTGTTACAGCAGTGGTGGTTTAGGACTGAGCATCGATGCTTCTGGGAGCAAACTGCAGATCTCAAGGTTAGTGCAGAGGCTGAGGTTGGCGTCAGCAGCCGGAACCTCTTTCTGTCTGGGTGTCTGAAGCAGTTGTAACTCGTTGCTTGGCATCTACAGAGATGGCAGAAGCTTCAGTGTGTGCACTGCAAGGGTCAAACAGTGAAAACAGATGAGCTGGGAGACAGCCTGTTTTTATAGGACATAATAACTTCTTGTTGGCAAGCAGAATGATGAAGAGTAAGGCAGGGAAATGGAGGGCAAGCCGTGCTCAATGCTGAAATTAGGTATTTTGGAATGTAGTTAAGCCTGAAAGAAATGTCTGTGGCTGAAGATAAGCATTGATCCCAGTGGTAAGTGGGCTGGCGAGGTGCATTGTGTTTGCTCTGTTGAGGCAGACCCACATCCCCCTGCACACAAGCAGCTCTGCTGTGATTTCTCACTGTAGGAAGTTGCTCGTGCTCTCTGGTCTCAAGCCCCACTGGGACCCTGTGCCAATCAGCTGGCTGTGAGCCTCTGCACAGCACGGGATGGAGCCCAGGGGAGCTGTAAGTGCTGCAGTGCGTGAAGTCAGGACATCCTTAACCCATGCAGTGCCTGCCTCTGCTCAAGCTTCCCCAGTGGTCCCATAAGAGCCAACAGCATCACTGCAGGTGAGCTGGGCAGCTTTGCTCAGCGTTAACGTGGGGTTTGGTTCTGCAGGAAGAGGTTAAAAATGCCCGGAGTTCTGTTGTATTTACCAGTGACCCGCGAGGAGCCTGCACTTTGTTGCAGGAGCACTTAACCTATGGCCTGTGGGCTGTCGTGCGGTCTGCCAGGACAGCTCAATTCAGACTATTCTGTTTGCAGCATCAATCCTTCACTGAGAGCAGGCTGGAGGCTGAAGGAGGGGCTGGAGTGACACATTAGGCAGCCTTTGCATGGCAGCTGGGTTGTTCTGGCATGGGACTGAAGGTAAGGAGAAACGCTGGGGCTAAGAGAAGCAGTCCCATCTCCCATAGAGGTTGCCCTGAAGCTTGTCAGTGAGAAGGAGTAAAAAATCTGATAGCAGATTTTTTGATAGCAGAATTAAGAGCTGAGGATGTGGTTGAGCACAGTCCAGGAAGCTTAACATCATCTTCCAAAATTGCTGGCTGTAACTGGAACAGCTCCAGGCTATTCCTGTGTTCCAGACTTGTGATTCCCCCCTTCCAGCTTCATGGGGCTGTGAGTGTTGTGGCAAATGTGACTTAACCTGTGTTGTCTGTCACTCCTTTCTCACAGCATCCCTTTGTTCTCCATCCCAGAGCAGGAGGGGCAGGGCAGCCAGTTTCACCTGGGATTTCTCTCTGCAGCATCCTCCTGGTCCCTGCTGTCTCCATGGCAACAGGAGTGGTTCAGCCCTCCCTCTGGGCTCTTCTCCCAGTGCTGTGCTCACATCTGAGAGCAAGGGTTCTCTGGAAGGTCACACCAGGTGACCCTGCAGCATAATGGGCCAACACAACAGCTTTGTGCTCTTATTTATGCATCCATTGCAATCTGCTGGACAGGACAGTCTCCATCACTGCACACAAGGAGAAACAGACAGCTCCATTCACCTCTGCACAACCGACCTGCGAAAGAAAGGGGAAATAAAAATAAAGAGGCTGTTATGCCCAGTTGCCCTTTTCTTGAATGTCCCGGGGGGGGGGCCCCGGAATATATAGAAGTAAAATCCTATTTGATACCTGTGCTCAGGCAGTTGGAAGAGGATGCCTGATATCTCATGATATCTCCTGCCTGCAGCTTGCATGGGCTGACACAGCATGTCCTGGTTGGACCCTGCACAGGAAACAAAAGACTGTTTAAGCACACTGAGGAGTACTGATTGCTTTAGAACTCCCTTTAAATAGCAACAAGTAAATAATAAAACTCATCTTTTGGCATTTAGCTATTTATGTTCTGCCAGTTCCAGAGGCCCTCCCCACCCCTCACAGCCCCAGCACCACATTGACCTTCCCAGCTACCTGTCCAGGTTCCCCTGGGGAAGCACTTTGTTACCCAGCACGTGCTCAGCTCACTCTTTAAGGATTTCTTTCCCCCTGAGTATCTCAGAGAAGCCCCCAGCCCAGCTACCCCAATGACAGCATTACAGCACACTTTTCACCCTGCCAAACAGACAGCAATTTCTGGGCTTCAGTTTAAAACCCAGGCTGGAACTTGGAACACTGCTGCTCTGTGACAATATTTGGGCTCTGTGCTTTACAAGGCAACTGCTCTTATCTGAAGCAACACTCACATCTTGCTTGCTTGCTGAACAGCCATAAACCTGCAAGCTCTGCTGTTAGTTACCAAAGGATGCCCCCCAAACACCACCATTTATTCTGTGCCACACATCCCCGTGCTTGGCCTTTACTATATTTCTTCCCCAACCTGCAGTTGCTCCTATCTGCAAAGCAGCACTGGGAGCAGCAGCTGCCCAGCAGCACCAAACACAACACACAGCAATAGCTCAAGGGAAAAACAGAACATTGTGTCAGTAATACCACTCCACTGCAAGTGCCACTGAGACTCAGCATATGATTCACGAGCAGCGTTTGGGTCTAGAGGCTCAAGAATTTCAGTGCTAAGACACAATTCTCACAATCCATAACCAAACGCTGCAGGTGGGAAGCAGGAGAGCCACTACTCCCCCAGCACAGGAGCTCACTCAATCCCTGACTAACTGTGCAACAGAAAACATTGCCACTAACCCAAGCCTTACATTAACAGACAGGAAGCAGCAACAACACGAGTGGGTATTGCCTTCATTCCTGGCTCCAGCGCTGTCATTTAGTTAGGCATTAATGGATTGCAAGCATGCAAATGGAGGCTTTGCTTTGGGTAGAGGTGATTCCAGGAGCCATGGACCGTGAGGACAATAATACCACCTGGAATGGCATGTCCACATCACTGCTGCCTCCCTGGGGCTGAATATGAGGGCTGTGCAGGGAGGTGGGTGTCCTTGCACCAAACCAAACCATACTGCTACACCAGCAGAGCCCACAGAACTTCCTCACTGCTGCCACTGCCCACTAACCAAGATTTGTTGCCTTCCAGCTTGGGGCTAAAGCTCTGTAGGGAATCGCTTCCACCTGCAGCTCCTCAGGAACTGCTCTACAGATGTAATCAGAGCTACACCAACCTGCTTCTTTCTTTCTGTGCCATTGACTCAGTGAACATGTGTGACATCTCAACACCACCCAATGCTACTGCCCAGCTCAATGACAGGTCATGTTGTGTGCACAGCTCAAGGGAACCCTCAGGCATTTGCTCTGGGCACGGAGCTGAGCTCACTCAGCACGCAGGCATGAGGATCATTAAGTATTTGCTCTTATTTGCATTTCTTCAAGGAAAAGGAAACATCTCCACTAAAACCTGGACTTTAACTAGTGAAAACCTCAGTAAGAGCAATTCCACATTCCTTAGTTGTGATGTTATAATGTGATGGAAAGCACAGCAACAATACTGAAGAAGAAAAGTCCTAGCTACAGAAAGTGAGGATATGCTCAAATACAGCTACTATATACACAGAAACAAAAGAAAAAAAGCTGCTTACCTTTAGAAGGCCTCAGGTATGCAGAGATCTACAACTAGATGTTCTCATGTCCACTGCCAACCTCAGAATGAGGGCTGGGAAGGGGTGGATCCTGGCTGCAGCCCTTCCATCACTCAGTACATTGCATGCACCTGTGCTGGCCCTGCCTTCCCACCAGGTGCTCCATCACTGCCTCAGGCTGTGCCTCAGCATTTCTGCTACTCCAGGTAATACCAAGACAAGAAAAAAACTGCAAAGTGCAACACTTGATCAAAGGGGAAAGAGGATTTTTTCCCTTTCTTTTCCATCAAAGTACAGTACATGGGGCTATAACTTCTGCACTCAGCTTCCCATCGATGGCAGCCAGTCTGTAATGAGCCAACTGTGTGGCCATGCCTCTGGTCCCATAGGGGCAGCGAATACCATTTGCAGGGAACTTGCAGGGCTGGGAATGGCACTGCCCTGGCAGGGTGGGCTCTCCCTCAAGGCCTGGTGGGGTCTGTGGAGGTGTGGGCTAAGCCACCTCACCCAGCCCTTGGAAGGGGATGTAGCACCATCGATGAACTTTCTCTTCTCTCATTAATCCTGTCTAATGACAGCTTGGTCTCAGTGGCAGGAAGCGATTCCTTGCTGTCCAGCTGCAAGCCAAGTGAGAGACCTAGGAGAAAAGCAAAGGCCCCATCTCCTGAGCACGCCACATCCTTGTGCTCCAATTGCCTGCTCCAAAACTGCCTCTCACTTCTGATCTAAACCCGCAGGGCTGCAGCTGTGTGCAACTGCTCTCCAGCAGCCCCAACCAGTTCTCCATTCACTCCCAAACAGCCCAGCAGCCAGACATTGCCTTGCAGTGCTTCCGACCTCAAGGAACAGTGAGGAGATCCATAAGGAGGTTTATTATAGCACTTTATTTGCGACCGTGTACACTCTGTGCATGCAAAGCTTTGTACAAAACCCCTCTGCTAGCGGCACAGCGAGCAGCAGGCACCAGGAGCTGCTTCAGGGGGCAGTTTGCATCCCTCCTGCTGGGTTCAGAGAAAGCCCAACCAACCACATCGCCTGCCAGCAAACCAGTCCTGAGAAAATGGCAAACTCCTCGCTGTCAGAGGGGGCCGGGAGCACGCAGGAGCAGCTCAGCTTTGGGGCTCAACCTCCCGCTTCCTCTGCTTCCAGTTTAACCAAACAGAACTCCGAAGTTCATCTCAAGATCCCCAGAGCAGCAGGAGGAGCCGCCACTTCCCGCTGCAGCCTCACTTCTCCTCAGGGCCGCCTTCGGGCAGCAGTGCCCCACCAGAGCCCTTCTTGCGGACGCACAGGCCGCAGTCCAACTCCACGTCGATGTCCCCGAATCGCAGCTGGCAGGACTCGTTGCAGCTGTGGGGAGGGACAGGAACGCGGCTCAGCAGGACGCAGGCAGCAGAGCTGTTTGCTCACCCCAACCCATCAGCAAGGATGCTGAGCACCCTGATACCCAGCCTTCCCCCTCCCTTTCCAGCAGCCCCCCTGGCACACGATTTTCATCACTCGTAACACAACGTTGGGCTTCCCAGAGAGGCTTTGGTTTGGAGCTGCTCACATACCAGCGTGACACGGCCGCGTTGGCTGCCAGGGCGATGAGGGCTCCTGCGTAGTGCCAGCAGAAGCACATGGTGAGGAATGAGAAATTGCTGCTGTCAGTCTGGTCCCAGCCTGGTCCTCCCCAGGGAGGGGACAGCACAAACCCGATCTGCTCACAGACAGAGGTGTTAGGCAGAAGCATCAGGCTTTACTATATTGATGATCTGAAAGGTCCCTTCCAACCTAAGCCATTCTATGATTGTTCATTGCTTTTCCTCCTCTTTTGATCCCTTTGCTGCTGCAGCTTGCCATGAGATGGGGACAAAATAATCCCTGTAACACCCAGCACACTGCCTCAGTGCTCTCATCAGCCAAACTGTCATGGACATGGGATGCTCATCTTGGGGAAAGGGATCCAAACATTACTTGGAACATTACTCATAATAAGAATGGAAAATTGTGAGTGTGGTTTCCCACCCTTATGATCACAGCATCTCTGCTCCTTCCTGGGGCAAAGCCCACAGCTCGGGGGGGAGCGCTGGGTTCCCACTGACCTGCCAGAGCCAGGAGCCCTGCAGAAGGAATGTGCTGGTCCTGAGGCACTCCAGGATGATGTGATCTCTGAGGAACACCTCCAGGAGGACACAGAGGGCTCCAGCAAAAATAGCGAAGGCCAGCAGGGAGTGGAGGTGCTGGTCCAGTGTAGCATCACCAAAGTTATGGAAGCAGAAGAGCAAACCTGACAAAAATCAACACTTCATTAGGAAAGGATGCTCTGGGATTTGTTTCTGCCTTTTAAATATTAAAAAAAAAATCTGAATATTATGGCCATGCTATAGGTCTCGCTAAGATCTGCCTGATGGGAAGGGTGAAGCAGCAAACAGCCAACTGCTATCACCTTGTTCTGCAGGGACTGTGCAGCTCCCAGCTTTGGGGACCACCAAGCCATAGCTTAGGGGCACTGCTAAAGCCACAGGCATCCCTGTGTCCCAGCCAGGAGGAGCCCAGAAATGGGCACCTGCAGTTTGTAAGGCATCACAGAGCTTTGCGTCAGGGTTTGTCTCTTTGTGTTAGAAGAGTCAGTGCATTTTTGTGATGCTGGAGAGAGCAAGGAGTTCTCACCAGGAGAACTCCAAACCCCTGTGCACATGGAGCACACCACACCAAAATACAGCCTGGGGGTTTTTGGTTGATGCATGCTGGTGACACCCCAGCCCTCCCTCCAGCCCCCCATTCACCTTCCATGAACAGAGCCACAGACAGCGAGAGCCGATCTAAACCCAATGGCAGTTTGAGTGGTGAGTGTGAGACCACATCCACGATGCCAGAGAGGAGGAAGAAGAGGTACATGGTGGTGTAGTGCCAATGCGTGAGGTCCGTCCAGCTGTGAGTCTTGGGGCTGTACAGCATCAGGTGGGGACCAGAGGGGACAAACTGCTCCACCAGGATCCCTAGGAAGAGGGCAGAAAGGTCTCATTTTCCTTTTACATGGAGGAAAGGGCAAACTTGGAAATGTTTCTTCGAGATGGGGAATTCATAGTGATATCCGCCCAGCAATATTGATACTGATGGTAGCAGACCAAGCCATAGCTTGTCCCCAAGTCCTCCCACACAGCAACAGCTGTGTGCCACCGTGACAGCCCTCAGTGAGCTGGTAGTAGGTGATGGGACAGGGACTGCTCAGCCCTTACCTGCCAGGGCAAAGAAAGCTTTGACTGCCCCTTCAAAGACTTCCACACGCCGGAGCCCATAGCTTGGCTGGTTCTCAGCATTTGTTTTCCTTCTGAGATACTTCAGGGGGTATCGCACCGACCACCAGAGACCAAAGATGAGGAAGAAGGTGCCCCGGAGGGCGCTGCCAAGGAAACTCGTCGGCATTGGGATCACTCCTGGTGTCTGTAGGAACAAACAGGCTCAGGTTAATCCCAGAGCTTGCTCAGCCTCCTGGGGAGCTGCACCATCCACTGCAACAGGGAATGCAGAGACACGGTGCCTAAAGGAGAAGCTGCCATCACGTGTACCTCTGTATCTGTGTTTCAGTCACCTCAACTTCCTTGTGACAAAAAAAAATGATGTTAACACTCAAGAAGACATGGCAGCTCCATGCTTTGAGGTCCTGTAACAATGCTTCTGCTCATAAAAAGCAGCATGGCAATTATTTCCTCGGAATATCAGCTCCTTCCCAACCAGATAATCGCTGGGTGTGAATCCAGCTGAAGTGCCCAGCAGCTCCCATCAGCCAAAGCCTCACAGTGAGCCGTGACAACGTGAGCCCAGAAGAGCCTCATGCATATTCCACACAACCTCTGTGCTGAATGTGAGCAAGGCATCTCTCCACACTCTGTATACATCTACCACCCGAGGAGCCCTCACTCCTGCCCTCCTCGCAGCCTTTCTGCTCCTTCTCCACCTCTGGGCTTTGTGTGGAAGAAAGCATTACTCATCTGTAGAAAAGCTGCCACACCAACTTGCATCAGGGGGCCCCTTGCATCACAAATATATCCTCGCCGTGTTTATAAATACCAAAGGAAATGGCAGAGGCTGGATGAACAACTCCAGCACGTTCTCCAAGTCCTCCCACACGAGAAAGTAATTAGCACTGTGAAATAAGGGTAGGATGTGGCGTGGCGAGTGCCTCGGGTGTGGGAGAGCTCTGCAAGACATCCCTGGCCAGGCTGGAGCTGCAGTGCTGGGGCAGCTTGTGGATTCCAGAGCATCGGCATCCATCACCCAGGATCTGGGGAAGGCTTGGGACTCTTTGTGCCATGCTAAGGTTTCCTCATGGCAGGGAAATGACTCAACAGTCCTTAGGGTTGATGAGAGCTGCCCCATCCCAGCAGTTGGTTCAGGTCTTCTGCTGTACCTCAGCTGCAGGGTGAGGTGGATCGTGCCCCAGAAGGGACTGTGTCTCTGCTGATTATAGCCTGGACACCCATCCAGGGCACTTATCTTCCTTGCACACGCAGCCACGTGCTGAAGTGACTAAAAACAAATGCTCTTAAATCACATTTAAGCGATGCACAATTGCATGATATATAACCAAATGTTACCATTGTCCTACAAGGATGCTAACTGCAATGACAGCAGCCTGAAGCTGGAGTCAGGACTGCACCTGGATTAGGACACAGCCACAGCATTAGCTTTCCATGGAGGAGGAGAAGAGGAGAGCAGCACCCAGGCTTCCAAATGACAACCAGAGGTTTATCTTTCAAATAGGAGAGATTCCCCATCCCAACCCTTTGGTCAAGCAGACGCTTGAATTCATCTCTCTCAGAGAAAGGAAAAAAAAAATGTCAACAACAAAAACTTATTTTAAGGAACAGCCACTATTTCTTAGAGAAACCAGACACGTTTCCAAGCAACAAACCACTCTCACAGCTCACACATTTGAGGTGCAGCACGTCCCAGTAAGGACAAACCCAGCCCAGCACCCAAACGCTCCCACACAAGCTGGTCAGGCTCCAGGCGAGTCGCAGCCCCAGAGTGCAGTGCTGGGTTACTTATTTTTCCTGCAAGCAACTGTGCCTGTCAGAGGACGTGAAACATGGCTGCAGTCAGGAGTTGTTACCTGTGCTGTCTTTCTCTCCCTGCAGGCTGCAGTGCCCTCCTGCAGCAGCCATATGGGAGCTGCCCGCTCTCCTTATGGCACAGTGTGCTGACTGCCTGGTGTGGGCTGGACTGCAGCTCTGCCCAGCTGCCAGGCTGTCCCCTCAAACTCCATCACACAGCAGCAAAGCAGCACCATGGGTGGTTTTGGCCCCAGGCAGAGATGGATGTGTGAGTACCCACGGGTGTGAGGGGCAGCATCCAGGGCAGCATCCAGGGCAGCATCCAGCATCCTCCATGCTGAACGATGGGCTCTGGAGAGCCTTCCCCACATACCCCTCTCTGCAGTTCCTCCTCTATCTCTGCTATGTGGGCACTTCTCTCTTGAGCAGAAATCCCCACCTCTCTCTTCTCCTCCTGCAAATCCTCCCCCACGACCCCAGAACCTGAGAGCTCCCCAGACAAGCCTTAACGCTGCAGAGCAGCAGGAGGCTGCCTGTACCAACACCACCCCAACAGCTTTCCAGCAGCCACCATCACACAAAAAAAACATCACAGAGTTGGGCTCCCCACGGCCCTTCCCAAGGTCCAGGAGCTGCATCCATGCCAAACACGGCAGCTTGGCCTCCCTTTATGGGCAAAGAGAAGAATTTACCTGCAGCTTCTGCTTGTCCTTCTCCCTCGCCAGACGCGTTGTTACTCAGAAGGGGCAGATAAAGGCAGAGGTGAGGCAGGGAGGTGGCCCTCGGACAGGATGTTTGGAGCTGGGCTCCCCGCAGGCCAGCTTGCAGCACTGACTCAGCCGTGGTTTCACAATAGGGGACACCTGGATCTGCCAGAAGCAAGGAGCATCCCACAGTTTGCCACTAAACTGGGAAGAGCAGCCGATTCCCCTTTCAGTGGTGATCATGTGTATTCAGTTATGATGTTATTTTCTGGATGGCTGGGGAAAGAGCCAATGAAGAGGTGGCAGCAACGAGGCCAGGTTCTGCTGGAAGGGCTCAGAGTTCCCTGATCTGGGCACAGTAATCTCTGCATGGGGTTGTACAGGGATTATGCCATATGAAAGGTGCCTGTGGGCAGGAGTTTGGGGTCAGGGCTTCCAAATCAAAGCGGAGCCTTTGTGAGTTCCATCTCCAGCCCACAGCAACCAAGAGGGGGAGAGAAGAATTGGCCCCACTGCCCCCCAAAGCAGACTCTGCAGCACACAGCAGCCTGGTTTTTGTCCTTTTTCTTGTCTGACTCAGTGCTGCCCAGTGTTAAGCATTTGCAGACACAAACCATACCAACATGCAAAGTAATCCCTGCATATCCAGCCTTCTCACCTCACCAGCTGCACAGATGAGCAATGAATGAAGTGCCTCGAGGTAAACAGACACTGTGACCCCACAGCATCCCCATCTCCTTCCAAATCACTGAGTTGCTGGTGCAAAGGCAATGAGCTCTGCCCAAGGAGCAGATGTAGGCAACAAAAAGCACTCCGTGCAGTTGCAACCCAATATTTCTCTGGGTCGCAACACATGTGGGTGCACATCATAGGACCCCACGCAACCCCAAAATCCCCCATTTGGGCTGCAGGATAAGCTGTGCCCAGTGCTCAGCCCTGTCAAGAGCTGCACACATAAGCCAGCACCCAAGGGAAGCCCTAAGGCTGGAATAGCAGGAGGGGAAACAACACATGCAGCCTCCCCCAGGGTTGCTCTCCCGCACAGCCATAAAGGCCACTGAGCCATAGCCAGGAGCCCTTTTACACAACTTATCTCCATATCAGCAATAGCAAGAAGGAGGAAGGAGGAAAAACAGGCAGCTGCTGGCGTGCTGCCATGCAGTGCAGGCCTCCAGCCTTCCTGCAGGCAGCTGCAGAGCGTGCAAAGCTCCATCCAGCAGGAGGAAGCTCAGTGCTGGCAGGGAGGGGAAATGCACATGGGGACAGGAGCACAGTGCTTTCACCCACAGGTGCTGCTCATCATTCTGCATGGGCAGAAAGGGAGCTGAGCATGCTGCAACAGGAGCCTTCAGCTTAGATGGGATGCCAGAAAGTGCAGCATCACCAAACCAGGGCTGCAGCACCTTGTAGTGCTCTCCCTAAGCCCCCATAGCAGCTCTCCTTACAGACCCTCCCCGAAAATAACAGAGCGCCCAGGTTTCTGGCAGAGAGCAGCAGCACCTTCAGCAGCCTCTGTGTAACTCAGCTCCCCTTTCTGCCTTTGTTTTCTTCCTTCCTTTCCTCACCTAGCCCTACAAAGCAACATCCCCCCAAAAACCAGCTAACCTCAAAGCTGGTGGCAAGCAGAAGGAACAAAACACTTCCAGCAGTGGGAGGCCAGAGCTGCAGGGAGAAGGCACAGTTGCTGGGAGCTGAAGGTGCCTTTTGGAAGAGAGCTTAAAGAGCCAGCAGGAGCACAGCAAGCAGAGAAAGGTCTCATAGAAAGGGCAAACAGTAATCAAGTGCTTATCAGCCTGTTTGTGAGAGTCCCTGGGGAGAGCTGGGGTATGAAACGCTTGGGGAAAAGGGGATCTAGCCACTGAAGCAACCCCTACAGTGGAAAGTGAGGGTAAGTGCTGACGGTAAGGTGGGATAAATGCCAGCAGCCCCCAGACTCTCGGAGGATCAGCCACACTGTGTGCTGAAATCACTGCCTGAGGGGCTGAGCTCAGTGAGCTGCACCTACAGCCCCCAGCTGCAGACTGCTGGGGCACAGGGGAGTATTATGGGATGGTCCCAGCAACTCCTGCCCTCCCTGGGCTCCAGCCCTGATGTTTTCAAGCTAAACAGCAAACGGAACTCCATTTCATTTTTAATTATTTCTTCTTTTCTTGGCTGTAACTGCAACATCCTCTCCCTGAAGGTTCATCACCGGCCTCAGTGCTAATGAAAAAATGTGATAATGTTTGCCTGCTTCCTGGGGGTGGTGGGAGGCACGATCTAATTAAAGGTTTGCCAGCAGCTCGGGCTCTGCAGATGGATGGTTGTTAGGGAAGTGCAAAGTATTATTATTATTATGACGAATGCTAAGACAGGCTTTCATAAACAGGCAACAGGGGAGGTGAAGCAGGTGGTAGAAGCATAGGCTGGGCTTGTGCTGCATCCCTTCAGCTTTACATAAATGCAGCCACAGAGAGTGGCAGTGGTAGATCCAACCTCTGGTGAAGAGCACGGGATGAGGCTGGTGGATAGGAGGACAGCAAGGTGTGGGATACTTGGTGCTCTGGGGTGATGTTCTGTGTTCTCCTGGCATGCTGAAGAAATGGGGCTAGATGGAGCACCTGCAGCTCTTTCCTGCCTTGAACGAGCAGATTTCCAATTGTGGGAACATCAGCATCCCTGTGCCCCAACCAGTGCCATCCAGGAGCACAGCAAAAACCAAACTGCCCCAAACCAACCCCAGGCAATACAGCCCTCCAAAGGCCCCCCCTCCAGCTGCACCAACACTGGGCCCAGCACCAAGTTTCAAGATGCTAATGGATAATTCAATTTGTACGGCTCCATATGCTATATAGGATCCTATTGAACGAAAGCAAGGCTGTGTTAAAAGCAATATATATCATTTAGAACTGCTCTGGAATGTCTGTCACGCAAGAAATAAATGTGAGGATGGCTTTTGGTTGTGCCTGATGTATAATAAACCATCTCTGGAGCTCTTATTGTGCTCCGAGCACCCAGAACAATTCTTTGGGTACCTCAGCTATTTACAAACACGTTTTTCAGCTAAAACACAAGTTGTTAATTCTCCTCCCAAACCACTCTCCTCCTGTGTTTTCTGTACGGTCACAGCCTGCCTCTCTCCTCCTTTGCTGACCTTCATACCTCGGAAAGAACACATTCCCGAGCAGGGAAACAAATTAACGAGCGCCGCACCGGAGGACGTTTGTAGGGCCGGGAGTTAATGAGGCAGACAGAGCTATTCCAGCTACGGAGAGGAAAAGCGTGAGGTGGGGACGAGGGGATGCTGGGGGGGGGGGGGGGGGTTTTATATCGGCACCCCCCCGCGGGGGGGGGGGGTGGAACGGAGCCCAAGGCGCCTCCGCCCGCAGCTCCTGGCAGCTCTGCCCTCGTGTGGCCGTGGGCTGGAAGGAGTGGCGTCGGCTTTTCTGTTTTCATCGCACCGAGCTGCTTTTGCTGCCCGCTTGGGTTTGCTTTCTGCCCCCCCTGGAGCCCCCGAGTGCTCGGTGTGCCGCCCTGCAGCGAGGTTCGCTCTGTGCGTGAGGAGCTGCTGGCTGCACGGCGCTGCCGTAGAATCACAGAATCGTTAATGTCAGAAAAGGACTCCAAGAACTCCTCCTGCTTGCCGTCCCTGGGTCTCGCTCGTATCACAGCAGAGAGGAGAACTGTGTGCTTTGGGGAAAGCTGCCCCCAACCATAGCAGAATGAGTATCTGCTGGTACCCTCCAGGTACAATTCATGGCACTTCACTGCTTGGCATTAATTGGACAGATCTGCAGAGGTGAATCGCTGTGCTGCTAAATTCCCTTTGCATTGAGCCCATTTGAGCCTCCTGAAAATGAGCACCAAGAAACAAACCTGCTCCAAAGGCTGGAAACCCAGGGAGGCCGAGCATCTGCTTTCCTCTTACCTGGAAGTGACCTTTTTGCCAGGAATTATCCAGCATAGTTGGGCTGGGGACACAACGTGCACCCATTTCATCACACTTTCCCAGCTGTGGGGGATTTGCTTATGGAAATCAGGGCTATTTGGTGGGTCCTGGTGCTCAGCAATGCATCTCACGGGGCTCCACAAGACTGAGAGCCACTGCTACACACTCCCGAATTTATCAGACTGAAAGGATTTTTGCTTCATATTTATTCCCTCTTTAAGAACTTTTGGTGAATAGAAATCTGTTTTTAAAATGTCTTCAGTTCACAGCTTTGGCAATAAAATTCCTGTTGTGCACGATGAAGCTGTGGTGTTGCAAATCTGATGTAATTTCAGATTGCTCCTTCCATCTCCCTCCTTGAGATGATGCTGTGGTGTGGGGGTGTTGGAGGGCCTGACTCCAGCATGGAGTTTCCCTATCTTGCAGCATAGCAGGTTGGGCCAGTGGAGGAGTTGGGAAGGCCAAAGGATGCCATCCATCTCTATGGATCTATCTTAACAGTCAATTTCTGTGCTTCATTTTGTTGCTAAAATCACTGTAATCAGTGCTTGTGTCAGAGCTGGTGAATCTGGGTACAACAGAGGGCGGAGACCACCATGCACACAATAGGATTCCAAGCAGCACAAGGGCAGCCCCTCTCCACTCTCCCCAGACATTGTGTTTGGTTTTGTTTGTATTTTTTCTTTCTGGAAAGCTGATTCTTCTCCAGTTTGCAGGAGAAGGTTGCATCCTCCTCACTCTTCATCCGATCCATTCAGGAATGCAGCCTGGGAGCCCATATCACCTTTCTGCTTCCGGACCCCCAGGCTGATGTAGGGCTCTCCACTGCCTCTCCCACACCGCTGCATGCAGCTGCAACACATGGGACAAGACATCACTGACAGCCCAACCCCAAACATTTGGCAAAGTGAACACACAGAAGGGGATAAACTGCTACAGAGGTCCTAAACATCAGGCGTTCTTGTTAACAGCTCAAGGAAGGTCAAATGCATCGAAGTCCTTGTGAGGGAGGGGACAAAGGGAGGGAGTTGGGTGGTGATGGGAAAGCTTTGGTTTTTCTATTGAATTAAATGCTGACTTTCAGGTGTCAGCCAGCACCCGATGCAGAGCAGCAACAGTGCACAGCTTGCACAGCAGCTCGGGGTCGTGCTTTCTTGCCTTCTCCATGCTCAGTGCCTGTGCCTCTTGCTGCCCCTATTTTGCATTCTGTGCATTCAACAAATAAAGCATACATTTGTTGCTGTGCTCTGAAACCTGCAGCAGGCACAGGCTGTGGATCCAGCTGTGGCTTCACATCTCAGCCCAGCCCCACTCCTCCCAAACCCCAGCCGTACCTGTAAGCAATGCTGTAGTTCACAGCCAGGATGACCACTGCAGCTGCCCAGTGCCAGAAGAAGCACATGGTGAGGAACATGATGTTGCTGTGGTCGCTCTCATCCCACATGGGACCTCCCCATGGCTGGAACAGCACGATCCCGACCTGAGTGGGATGAGAACTTTGTTACCTTGGGGGGAAATCAGTGTTCTGAAACATGAGCCTGGGCTGGTTTGCAAACGGTGTTATCGCTTCCTGACCTTCCAAGATATTCTGGAGGCATGAGAAGCTGCTACAGGAGCTTTGAAGCTTCTAGTTGTCTCTCTGCACTGCAGACTCCCAGCCCTCCAAATTTAGAGTCATAGGATCATAGAACCGTAGAATCATAGAACCATTAAGGTCAGACAAGACCTCTGAGATCTCCAACCCCAGCTGTGCCCACATCCCTCAGTGCCACATCCCTATGGTTATGAAACCCCTTCAGGGACTCCACCACACCCTGGGCAGCTGTGCAGCGCCTTTGGTGTTTCACGTCTCTGGATAAGGGCTGCTCTGAGTCAACACAGCAGCTCTGGGGCTGAGGCAGAGGAGGAGAGCTCACATCTGTTGCTGGCAGCTGAGTTTTGGGAGCAGTTCTCTCTAACTGATCTCTTTGCATCTCCACCACCAAAGCGAGCAGGTGGCCGTGCTTTCACTCAGCCATTTGACTGCTTGGTGGGAACTGCATCTTTCCACTGAGCCACAGGGAGTGCTGCAGGGTGCATTAGACACATTAAGCAATTAGGACTTGGTTGTCAGACACCGCAGAACGCCTCTTGCTTACTGTGAGCACTCGCCTTTCCCCCCAGAGAAGCAATAAGCCAAGACAAACAGCCATCTCAGCCAGAGCAGCCATCAGAGATGACCTGAGATGAGGAAATTTTCACTCTGGGTTACGATCTACTTGCAAAATTGCTCTTTAGAGACGCGTGATTGAGACGTGAAGTATGGCTTCTTCTCCTCTCCACGTGGCTCTGCCACCACAGTGCTCTGCTCTGCAGGAGGAGCCAGCACTCACCTGCCAGAACCACGTTCCCTGGACGATGGTGATGCCGGCTCTGAACATCTCCAGCACGATGTTGTCCCTGAGGAAGACCTCCAGCATGGTGCTGCAGGCCCCTGAAAATATGGCGATGAGCAGCAGGGAGTGGATGTGCTGATCCAGCATGGGGCGGTGAAGGACGTGGTAATAAAAGAGACAACCTGCCAAAACGAGCACCATGCTTAGGGTAGCATCAACCATACTGACCACCACCACTGAGAGTAAATCATGTCCCACCGGCTCTCAGGGAGCTTTATCCGAAGTGAGCCCCTAGTTTATATCAAATTAGCAATCTAGGAAGACATGGAAGTGAAATTGTTTCTTAATGCCACATGAGTGGTGTGGCCACGGGGAGCACCTGGGTCTCCTCTGAGATACGTTTCCTGGGTGCACTGAGTTGGACCCAATGATCTTTGTGGGTCCCTTCCGACTCAGGATATTCCACAATTCTGTGATTCCCTTTTCTTACATGCTACACATTACCTGCTGAGCTGCCTGTGCTGTGCTTCAAACACCACTGAGATAAGGGAAAAGAAAATATCAGAATCATAGAATCACCAAGGTTGGAAAAGACTTCTGCAATCATCTTGTCCAACCGCCCACCTACCACCAATATTTCTCACTAATGTAAGGAAGAACTTCATTTCCTAGTGTCTTCTTCCTGCCCTGTGTGAGCCGAGAGGTCTGAAATCCAGGCTCACAATATGCAAGACAGTCTGAAGACATAATGATATTCATGATGTGCTGAAGCCAGAATAAGTCACTTCAATTTGCCACTTGCAATGCAAGCAGATGAGAATGACAATGCCTGCAGCACAATTAATGGCCCTTGGGGGGAGCACGGGGCATGCAAACAGCTCAGTGGATGTAAGATAGATGGGCTATCCACCAGCAATTCATCATAACAAGGAAACTCAGCCCGCTGTCACACCAGAAACCCCAAACCAGGAGAGCCAGGATGCATCAATGCCTATATTTCTCATCTTGCAGCAGGCAGTCCGTTGATAACATATCAGAACTGTCCTGTCCTCAGGCATGTCCAGGGCGATATCTCAGCCTGCCAAATTTTGTTCTCACTGTGACTCACCCAACAAGACCCCTCCTATCTCCTACTGACCTTCCACAAACACGGCCACGGACAGCATCAGGCGGTCCAGCCCCCGCGGCACCGTGGTGCAGACGTAGGTGAAGATGTCCACCGCCCCGGAGAGGCCGTAGAAGAGGTACATGGTGGTGTGCTGCCAGTTCATCAGCTTCACCCAGTCGCGTTTCTCCCCACTGTAGAGGTACAAATGGGGCCCATCGGGGACGAACTGCTCTGCCAGCATCCCTGCGTGGGCACACAAGATTGTGGCTTATATGCAATGATGGCTTGATGCTGCTGGTTGCCTCGGGGGCTTTCTGAAGGCAACAGCCACTGACTCGGGTCAGGATTGGCTGCCTTAATGGTAGCTCAGCTTTGGGAAGGGATGTGAGATTTGGTCTCTCAACACAAGGTGAGCATCAAGGAGATGCATCCTTCCACATCCGGACCAGTTTCTCTGGAGTGAGGATTCCATAATGGTCATTGCTACAGCATGGGAAGCTGTTGGCATTGTCAATTCAACATAGCTCTTACCTATTAGAGCAAAGGTGATTTTAACTCCTCCTTCAATGGCATCCATGCGTTGGAAGCAGTGATTATTTTGGGACTTCTTGCTTGCTTTCTGGCTGAGGTGCCTCAGTGGGTATTTCACAGACCACCAGAGCCCAAAGACCAGGAAGAAACTGCCTGGAAGTGCATGGCCCTTGAAGTTTGCCATGCTGACAACGTCCTCTGGCTAGAAGGCAAAGAAAAACACTACCATTACACAAACCACATTGGTATTTGGTGTGATGCTGTGGGGAAAAACAAAGGCTTTGTTCCCTTCACCTTTTGGGGAGCACTGGAAGCACCAGAGCCCCGACTGGTCTAGCAGAGGCCCTGTCCCTGCTGCAATCTCTGGCATCCCTGCTTGAACTTTGGGGTTCTCCCTAGCTTCTTGAGCAAAAGCATCCCCTGCAGAGCTGGGGCTGGGCAGAAAGGCCAACACATGGGGAAAACTGGGAGGGCTGCTGCAAATAAACATCACTCAAGTTGTTTAGCTCATACAGAAGGATTTGAACAGCCCCGGGAGTGCTGTGCTACCAGCAAAAACGTTTTAAATTCCTGGAATTGCTTCAACCCAAATGCACCAAGCCAAAGGGTTTGGTGAAAAACAAAGCTTCAGAAATGCCCCCCAACCCAAACCAGCTGCACCAGCGTTCCCCCTGAGCACCACCAGGCAGCAGGGCTCCCAGCAGAGCTCAGCTCAGCCCTCAGTGCCAGCACAGCGCAGGGCTGCAGGAGCAGAGGGACCCGTTTCCTAGGAGAATCACAGCAATTAAAACCCAGCCGGCTCCTGCTTGCCATTTGCCGGTTTGTTTAATTAGGTGGAGAAACAATTAGCTCTTTGATGTGGGCTCAAGCATATGTTTGGGGGCCTGCCTTGGCACGGGTACAGGTCGGCTGTGTCGGGCTGGTCAATTAGGAGATTTTAATTGATAGCAAAAGCTGTGCTGGTGATGCTGAGCAATCCCTCCTCCGTCCCTTAAGGCTCTGAGCTGCACCAACAGGAGCCAGCTCACGGCACAGACGCGGCCCACTACAATGGTGAGGGCATATTTTGGGGCAAACATTGCTTCTGCTGCAAACACTGCCCTATGCATGCAGCTGCCTGCAAGCCACTATGCCCCCTCCACCAGGCTGGTGCTGCAGGAGCCTGCATCAAATACCTGCAACATTTTCAAGCCAAAAAATAAAGGAGGAAACTTAATGCTAGGAAGATAATGCCATGCTTAAAATGTTTTTTTCCTGCTGTATTTGATAGCAGCTTTGCAGGAAGGTTTTAGCAGTGCTGCAAGGCTCTGCCTTATTTTGTGGCTTAGAAGCAGAGATTTATGGACAGTGGACACATTGGATAATTAAAGACAAAATCAAAGCAAGGCGCTGCTTACCAGCTCTGCTGGCACAGTCCAGCAGGCAAATACAATGGGCCCTTTGGTCCTTTCAAGGAGACAAACCTGCAATCAGAGCATCTACCTGTACCCTGCAACAAAGGGAACGCCTGGTCTGGGCCAAAGGAGGCTGAATGTGTGTGTGTTGTGGTGAGAAATGAGCCACACTGTGTACGTGCAGGGGAGCCCAAGCAATGACCGAAAGCACAGTAAACCCCTGAGAGAACAACACGGCAAGGCACTCCTGCAGCAACTGCTGTGATCATCATGTCATAATGCTCTACTGCATGCCATATAACTTCACAAACCATCTCCTGCAGTTATATTTCATAGTTGGTGCTCATAGGACCCGACGGACTTCAAAGTGGGGAAACTGAAAGGCCGTTCTCTGTGTTAAATGCACAACCCACTGATAGGATGAAGAAAAGCCAACGATTGTGGTTTCAGCTCTGAGCAGCTCCTGTCTGCCCATGCAGCTCCACATGCAGAGGGGTGGCGCAATCCTTCAAACAGGAATAAACCCAAAATCCAAACGCTGGAGCTGCAGCTGCTGTTGCCACCACCATTTGTGAGCACTGACACCGGGCATCCCTGCAGGGCATGAATTCTCAATGCTCCCACTTGTCTGATCTGCTCAACAACACACCCGCATCCCTTGTAATTAATGCACTTTGTCCCCTGCCTGTTCATTACACCGAGCTGGCTTAATGATTTACTGTTTCCTCTGCTCTTATCGCCTCCCAGAGGAGTTGGCTTCTTTTTGTCTTAAAGTTAATGCACCAAATCACCCAGGAAAGCATCCAGCACTGTCAGGAGGATGGTAAGGAACTCGACAGGCTTTGCTTCCTCCTCTCACCTTCCTGATGTGAGGCCGTGCCATTTCTTTTCAGCCAAATCCTGGGGCCATAGAGTTTGCCTTATTTGCTTTACTTCTCTCTTTTCTTTCTTCCTTCCTTTCTTTCTTTCCTTCTTTTTTTCTTGCAAAGGTTTTATTAGTGCATCAATAATGACTCGTTCAGGGCGCTGCTTCCATGTCACCAGTTTGGAAATTACGTTCTAAAGTTCGCGATTGGAAACAGCTCACAGCCATCACCAGTGCAATTAACTCTGCCCTTCAGCCTCCACAAATCAGACAGCTCAGAGCTGCTCTCTCTCTGCAGGACCTGCAGTGTTGGTGTGACAGCAGCAGTCCCCATGGGAGCACTGACTCAGAGATGAAGAGAAATGGCTTTGCTTGCAAAAAAGCTGAGCTCTGCCTGGATCCCAGCTGGAAATGCCTCTGGGTGCCACGTCTGGGAAGAACGTGGCTAATTCAGACTCTCTTGGGAATGTCCTGGCCTCCTGTTGCTGATTCTGAGAGTGCAGGAGGTCTCAGCGTGTGTCTGGAGGAGCAGCCATAGAAGTGAGATAACATCTCTGCAGGTGAAAAAACTGCAAAAGTGGCACAAATAGGAGCTCTGCTGCCTGACATCCCCCATCTGTCCAAGCAGCCCAGAGCTGCTCCTGGTGTGAGCAGCACTTCCATCACTCCCCCAGGAGCCAGACCCCTGATGCATTCATGTCAGCCTAAAGCCCCTCTGAGCCATTTCATCCCATTATTATCATTTTTTTTCTTGTATTTCTGCCTGCACCCACACCAGTGACATGGAACCATCACGCTGTTATCTGTTAGCAGCATTTACAAGCCCAGCTGCATCTGCAGCTTTCTGCCTACAGAAGATACACAAGGCTTTTCCTCTTAGGTTGAAAATTATCAGCTTAAACAGAACCTGCTTTTACTCCATCAGAGGGAAGGATGTGAACCCACAGCCACAAAGCAGTGACCATCCCCCAGCCCAGCAGAGAAAGCTGAGCAATAAAACAAATTACCTAAAGCCACCTTAATGACAGATGCTCAGGGCGGGCGCTTTGTCATCCTTTTGCTTCTCTTTACGACGTGCATTTGTTTATTTGTGGTTTTAAGGAAACGGGGTCTGACTTTAAAAACGACCTCTTTTGGGAAACACGTGTTGCTATCTTAAAAGGCATTTTTCTTCTGCATTTTGCCTGAGAGCTTGGAGTGCTTTTTCAAGGTGCTGGTTGCCATGGGACTCAGCCAGCCCAGGGCTGCGCTCCCACTGCAACTCAAACCCCAAACTGCTGCCACCAGAAGTGCCACGAAGTCACCACTGGCAGAAGGCAAGGCAGTAACATGTCCTGAAATCATCCCAAAGCTGCTGCTTCTGCAGTCTCATACAGCTCTTGAGGATGGAAAAGAGCTCTCGGATCCCGAATCCAACCTCACCCCACTGTGCCCAGGTCCCTCAGCGCCACATCCCCACAGCTCTGGAACACCCCTGTTCCAATTTACCAATCAACCCCTGACTGCTCCCTGCTCCTTCCTCCCCTGCCGTTTACCTGGAAAACCCCCAGCCCCACAAGCAGCATTTCCCCTTTGCTGCACCTGGAGCTGTTTTTGGGCAGACCCACACCGTGACCCAACAGCACAGTACTGCCTTTGTCACACCTCAAGAAAAAGCCTTTATATACCAAACTATTTAAGAAACCGTTTCAATTCTGATATACTCAAGGCAGAAGCAATTATTCACCTAAAACTCCCACACCTGTGTTCCTTGGCTTATTGGGCACCTGAGGCTGCACTGCAAAACTGAAATGCTGTTGGTTTCCAGCTGGTAGGAAGGAGGAAGAAACCTTCCCAGAATAGAGCCCTGCCGGGGGAGGCACCGGCCTTGGAGAAGGGCATTGAAGGACTCGTTCCTTCCTCATTTTCAGGCATGAAAAGAGGAATTTCTGGGCAATTCTGCAGAGAGAGGAGAATGGGGGAAGGCTTTCTGCTTCGGTGCACGTAGGGTGATTTCAGTCCCGCTGTCAGACAGAGCCTTTGTGTGTAACTTGGCTAGGAGCAGAGCCGCAGTGGGGAGGGCTCCCTGCAGGCAGCCCCACGAGGTGCAGGGGGGATTCATGGGGACCCCTGTCCTGAGCAGCTCTGCTCCCCTCCACTGCACTTGAGCCCCAAGCACTGCGCTGTATTTCCAACTTCCTCCTTGCCCGGTGTTGCTGCCCGGCCGCCCATCGTGTCCCACTGCTGGGTGCAGCCTGTGAATCCTTATTCACCCCATTCCATGGCCCCCACCACTGCTGGGACATGCTGGTGGGACACCCCAGCAATGGAGCAGGCAGAACCCCCACCCCCACTTCACTCTCCATGGAGAGCACCTCCTTCCTCACCCACCCACATCCTTCACTCCTTATGGACTCAACCCAAACACCAAATTTCAGGGTCCACCACCCCAAAGCCCACTCACGGACCCTTTGGATAACCAGGTGGGCTCCTTTCCCTCCCTGCTACAGAATTTGCAGTGCAGTACCAAAGGCAGGGGGGTGGTCACCCACCCCATCTCATCCTACCCCATCCCATCCATCACCATCCCACCCCTGCCCAACACACAGTCCCTCCCCACAGAGCCCCACATTACCTGCCAGCTGCTGCTGCACCTCGCCCAGGTGAGCTGTGCTCCGCCTCAAGCACCTCCCCACCTACCTGCAGCCGGGGGCCGGGCACACCAAAGCCCCACACCTCAAGGCACATTGAGCAGCTCGCTTGAAGTTTTCTCCCTTCAGAACCTTCCTGACTCAATGAGCAATGCTGGCTGGCCATGGTAAAGCTTTGTGCAGAATCCTTAACCTCAAACGGTTATATATTTAATCACCTCAACAACCAAATATCCTTCTCCATGTCTCTGCATCACCCACCCTGTGCAGAAAGCAGGGGCACAGGGCATCATCCCCATCCCCCCCAATGCTGCAACAATGAAGGGAGTCACCAAACGTCTTCATTTTCTCAGTTTGTTCCTTTCCCACACATCCCAGGCTGTGACAGATGCTCCTCCAGGGACCCACGATCATAACCCATATTTCAACTCCGAACGCAATTTTCTGACCAGACCTCCTACAAAACGCAGTTTATTCTTAATAATACTTCCCACTTTCATCTCCAGCCCTGCAAGTGCTTTACAAATGTTAAATAATTAACCCCCACAACACCCTGGGGAGGGAGGTAAGCGTTATTATCGCTATTTGTAACAGAAGCACTGACAGAGCCTCCTGTACTCAAGTCCTGCCAGCCCTCAGCTTAACTCACTTTTATGGGGCAGCACAGATACTTACATCACCCAGAGCACATACACCTGCAGCAGGGAATTTGCAGGGAGAAAGCTGAGTTTTACTGTCTGGGAGCTTTGTAAATGGCTTCATGGCTCAGAGCTTTGCCTGGCTGCCCACCCCAGCATTCAGAAAGAGGGGCGTTTATGAAAATAAAGCAATTTGCTTACAGTGTTGTTTAAATGGGTGATTTCTTGTAAAAATATTGCCCTGTTTGTTCCTCTTCTCTCTGAGAGCTGCTGAGCTGGGGGAGGAAGGCAGCATCCTGCAGGCATCTGCTCCATGCTGACTGCAGCAGCATCTCGTTCTGCAGCACGGGGGCTGGGTTGCAGCACTGAGGCATTCCTCTCCTCCACCTCTGCAGCTCCACCACTAAATTGGTTCATTAATGTCACAGAATCATAAAGTCATTAAGGTTGGAAAAGACTTCTGAGATCACAAAGCCCAACCCCAGCCCCTCCCCAGCACGTTCACTGATTGTGTCCCTAAACAGAACCACAGAATCCTTAAGGTTGGAAAGGGTCACCAAGTCCAACCATCTAGTCTTTAGGTTCACCCCTACACCTAAAGGTAAGCAGTAAGTGATGGAGGGCCTGGAAATAGGAATAATTCTTTCTCTGTGCAGAGAGGCTGGCTCTCCTGAGGACGTTTATGGAACGAAAGCCATGGGATGTCTACAAATATCAACAAAGCACCAGAACGTGGGGTTGCTCTTTCATCAGGGATGGAAATCCAAGCTGCTGGGCTGCGTTTGTGATCCTGCTATGGCTCCTGCTGTCACAGAGCTGAGCTGCTCAGGCAAAGCGTTGAAATTGAAGTTTGCCCTCAGCCCAGGCTCTGTTGCCTATTGCTGCTGTTTCTTGCCTAGCAGGAAATTTGCACTGTGAAATATTTGCAGAACGAAACCATGGAGCCCATGGGGCGGGGAAATAGGAAACCTCTCTGTGTGTATTTACTGCAGCAAACGCCATCCCGGAGCTGGCAGTTAGGCTGAATGTGTGCATGTTTAACCTCAGCAATGCTCACATGATCCAAAACAAACATTTCCCAACAAAACACACGCACACAAAAATAATCTCTGGTTTATAGCTATGCTTCTGCTGGAGGTTGTTCCCTCCACCATCCTTGAAACAACACATGGGCTGCACCTTGCCCAGCATGCATCAGCATTCGGCTTTCCAAAGCTGTGAGCATGGGGCTGCCACCAGGGTGGGCCTGGGGTCACCGTGGGCTGCAGACACAAACCAGGCTCCATCCCAAATGGCAGCGTGCCCAAACCATGTTACCTTGATGTGAAATCAGCCCTGGCACCAATTCCTATTCTAGGATGTGTAGAATTGCTTGGATAGAGCTCAGAATTAATTGCTGAGGGAAATGGGGGAAATGATGGAGCGTCACAGCCAGGAAATGAGTTCCTCATTTCTGCAAGTTAAGGACGGCAGCCTGAAGGTGAGCTGTGATTTCAGGGGCCAGGACAGCAGGCTGATGAGCTGCATGGCACAGCCATGAAAGCAAGCTGACAGATAAAGGTAAGAAATAAGAAATCCTTCAGCTCATGCTCAAGGCTCCTGCCTCAAGGCAAAATGAGAGAAAGAATCCATTCCATAGAGGACATCTGCTGCACCACGCAGCCAGATCAAAAGCACACAGAGAAGTGGGAAGACACTTTGGGGCACAAGTTGGCCAAAATGAAGCAGAAAAATAAAGGTTTCTGGGATAGCCCCCATGAACAGACCTGAGCCGCTGGGTGGGTAAAAACAGCTGAAATCAGATGAATAAAAACAGAGAGAGCTCAGCTGTGCTGCAATTCCAACTGCATCCATCCGGCAGGACACCAGCACTGCGTAGTGCTTGGGAAGGCAAAAGCTGTTAATAAGAGACAGAAAAAAATCATTAAAAACAAAATGGTGCAGTCAGACAAGAGGAATTTAAGGGAAAGCGAAGGTGGATAGCGAGAAAACAGTGAGGGAAATGCAGAGAAGGGATGGAGGCTGAGAGAAGGGAGCACAGAGTTGGGGGAAAGCCTGTGGGAAATGGGAACAGTGGAAAAAAAAAAAAAAAACACGAAACAAAATAAGGTAAGAGAAGATAAAACAAGTCATGAAACAACGAAAGAATAAAATATATAAATCCTCCCGGAGGGTTTTGCGTGGAGCAAGGGCGCATCTCGGTGGCAGAGGGAGGAATGCCATCCCGAGCCGCTCCGCTCTCAGGCGCCGCCCGGGGCGATGAGGAGCCGCCAGGTGGTGCTGGGGCTGCACGGAGCAGCTCCGAGGGATGCTCGAGGTGCTGCTTTCCCACCGCACAGCCGGCCCCGAGCCCTCCTGCCCCTTTATCGCAGCCCTCTCTCCTCCGCAGGGAGGTTTATAGGGCCGGGCATCCCTCGCCTCTCTTTTGGCGATGGGGAAACTGAAGCACGAGGGGGATCGCGCAGCCTCCATCGCCATCTATCCCAGCGAGGAGGCGATGTGGCCACACGCTCAGCCCTGAAACGGATGGGAAAGGCTGAAAGCATCCCGCGGTGAGGGGGATTGAAGCATCACACCCACCTGCAGCCGTGCCACAGCTGCGGTTTGTTGCCCAGCCGTGCACCCCAGGCAGCAGCGAGGATGGAGGCTGAGTCCCTTTTTGGGGTCTGCTGTTGCTTCATGGTGAATCTCAGATCGTATCCCTGTTTTTCTGATGTGAAATAGCACCTGCTGGCAGATTCTGGCTTACTAAAGATGGC